CCTAAACTGAAACTGAAACTGACATTTGCTACCTTCCAGTCCTCAGGAATGGAGGCTGATTTTAAGGAAAGATTACATATTTTTGTCAGGAGATCCAGAAGTTCACATTTGAGTTCTTTCAGAACTCTCAGATGTATGCCATCTGGGCCTGGTGATTTATCAGTTTTTGAGTTGTCTATCAGTTTTAGGACCTCCTCTCTCGTCACCTCAATCTGACTCAGCCACTATGATACACCAAACCAGTTCCCAGAAATTAGTTGAACAGACTATCAATATAACTGGAATGTTATGAATCAGAAGTAGAGAAATGAGAAAAATACTAAAAAAAGTTTTAAAAACCAGAAAAAAGAGACTTGAACTGAACAATATAAGTGACATGTAGTCAAAAGATTAGCAGTTAGCATGTGGCTTTCATTCAGCCTATGGATAGAAATCTTCAGGTGCTAAGTTGTGAGCTCCTACATATCTTCTGCATCACCCCACACCTTTTTTCCCCATAATTTTCTGCCAAATCCTGTAATTCCAGAGGAATCAGACATGAGGAAAGAATATATATATATATTTCCCAAATACGTTGCAAAATGTGTACTGTATACTCATCAGGCCATTCCAGTTATTCATCTTTTGCCATTTATGATCTTTTCCACAAGCATTTTTAAAATGGAAGGGACTGTCACTTCAAAACAGCCTCCAATATGTCTTTTAAAAAGATAACATTCATCCCAAAACTCATTTAGATAGGATTTACTTGTTCTTGAAATGGATTTTAGTGGGATTTAGTCATCTTGTCACTGGCTGACAGACTTAGATAACTTTTAAGTAATGCTCAAACAGGATCTGAAGTAGCTACCCATTCCTAACCACACATAATCTATGAGCTTCCAACATCATGCTTTTAAAACGTTATGTATCTGAGCTGCAGGATATTCCACAAATATCTCTGGTGTTAACACAACTGGTGCCAGGCATTAATGTTATAATGGAAAAGTTTCAGCCTCCGGAACTCACACAAGTGCTACCATTTACATTATTTTTCCATAAGAGCTCTACACAAGATGTGAGATACTCATTTTAAAGGCAAGCCCAGGCTCTACTCAGTTTGAAACTAGAAATAGGTTTTATGGAATAAGGCCTAGCTCTCTAAAAACAGCAGAGAATGTAGGAAATTTGCGTCTGGGTGGTACCACAGACAACTGCGACAGCTCCTGTGACAGAAATGTTTCCCCATACAGAAAACTAGCATGTTAGAGGAGAGAGAAGACTAAACTGTACTCCTTCTGACATCTAGTTTGCAAGGATTTTTGAGGGTACAGAGGACCACCTAATCATGCATTTTCCTGTTAAGTCGCTCACTTAACAAAGTACATGAAGAGCAGAAAGGCACTGTTGACACATAATGCACACCGGAAGATATCCAGATGGATAAGATGAAGATGGTATAGCTAATGTTATTAGTTTTTGGAATGCTACTGCTTGAGAGTATATAGGGACACAGTTGGCAGCTTGGCTTGTTGTGGGGTCCAGTCCCTGCATTCATGTCTCTATTACACTGTTGTTGTTAGGAAGCTTTGTATAGCATTATCCAGTATAGGTTATAGATCACTGAGAAACTCCTTGGATTGGTTTGACCTGGGAACTGCAAGCGGCAAGCAGTGAGGTTCTGCAGTTATCTCTTTTGAGTCAATCTTGTAATAGATCATTTCTGGTTATCAGTCTGCCAGAAACAAATTAAGAGGAAAACTCATAAACGGACATTTCATATACATGGAGCTAGATCTCATTATACTGTTCCATTAGCAGCAGAACTTTCTTCCAGGCTTCTCGCACCAGTGAAAAAGCCACTCTGGGTATGCAAAAGGTTCCGCCATTAGTAGAATGGAACTGTAGAATCCAATCCAGTAGCTTCTAATGTTTACAAAAATTCTGCAAGGGAGGTTAATGTGATTTTGTGGCTGAAAGAGAGTAACTTGACTGAGGACCCCGAGTGAGTTCATGACAGAAGCGATATCCAAATCTGGAACTTCCTGATTTGTAGTTCAGTGTCTCAGCTACCATGCTATATCAGCTTTCACAAAAGATCTTTCCCACCGCTTTATTTCATTTCAATGGAGCCTATGCCCAAAAGACCTTTTAAGTGGAACCAGTACTTGAATATGTATTCTCTTTAATGCTCAGAACTCAGCCTAGGAGATTTGAAAGAGGACTCATAAAAGCACAGAGTTAAAGGGCAAGGAGTAATACTTAAAAAAAACACTGCCCAATGCAGTTGCTTAGGTTTTTGATCAATGGAGTGTCTAATGTTAAATCTCATTCAACTTTATTTTTCAACTTTATACCTGACTGTTGTGGAATCAGGGTTTCGACTGAGCTCAGTCCATTGAACAACCTATTTTGTATTTATTTATATAGCCGAATCTTTGGTTTCCCAAAATGCTTCAGGGCTCAGCTATTGCTTAAGCCTTTGTGATACAGATTGCCCAGTACACAACTTTTCAAATGAGGTCTCACCATTGATTTATATAGGGGCATTATGATATTGGCTGATCTGTTTTCAGTACCCTTCCTAATAATCCCCAGCATAGCATTGGCCTTTTTTATTGCAGTCACACACTGTCTCGACATTTTGAGTGAGTTATCTACTACAACTCCAAGATCTCTCTCTTGATCAGTCTCTGCCAGTTCAGACCCCATCAATGTGTATTTATATTTAGGATTTTTGGCTCCAATGTGCATCACCTTGCACTTGGCCACATTGAACCCCATTTGCCATGTTGACGCCCACTTGCCCATCCTTGACAGATCCCTTTGGAGTGCCTCACAATCCTCACTGGTTTTCACCACCCTGAACAACTTTGTATCATCCACAAATTTAGCCACTTCACTGCTTACTCCCAACTCCAAATCATTAATGAACAAGTTAAAAAGCAGTGGACCAAGTACTGATCCCTGCAGTACCCCACTGCTTACCACCCTCCACTGAAAAAATTGCCCATTTATACTCACTCTCTGTTTTCTATTAATTAGCCTGTTTTTGATCCATAAAAGCATTAAGCACCAGAGGTTTATACTGTTCCAAAGACTTTGCAAGCCAGGAAGAACCAACATGAAATTCTTTTGTGGAACTTTTGACCTCTTTCCCCAATTTCTCAAGGTAACTGAGACACAGCAACTCAACAACACCACTTCCAGGAAATACTGCATTATCAAGAAGAGCATGATGCACACAATAAGCACAAGTCCAAAAGTTATCTTCAGTGGCTTGCATCTTGGACAATATTGGACTGCTAAGCACCACTGTTACCAGGTGAATTCCTTTTGCTGTTATAACAATCGGAACTCTGCTATCCAGTTCCCTCCAACTTGACTCTCCAGTTCCCCAGTAGTTTAAATAGACATCCTTGCCAACACAATGTTCATTCACCTGAGCAAGGTAGGTCACTATTTCTGCTCCTGTAATATTGCTAAAAGCTTGTAATACAGCATGGGTTACCTGATTAATTATCAGTATGTTATGTAGGAAGCATTTTTCCTCTAAACTTTCACATATGTTACCTTGCACATATGTTACCAGCATTTTTCCTCTAAACTTTCACATATGTAACCTTGCACCAAAATTAAATCATTATGGTATTGATTCAAAATATCTAACACAGCATCAACCCACAAGCCTGAGCTATTCGCTTATTCCCACTTTCTAAGACCATTCTCACATTTTGTGACCTGTTAAATCCCAAATGGCGATATGTATCTGTTAGGTCGCCAGCTATAAGAACTATATCAAGAGGTCTATCCTGAAGCTGCTTAGCAATAGCAGCTTTCTCTGGACATAACGACATGACATACCCAGGACAAACACAAGAATAACTTTCAGACATCCCTGGTAAACAACAAGTTACAATTTCTGAAATATTAAATTGAAAACAATGGGAATCAGCTGTTTGATAGTCAGTCTGCAACAGGCATTTAAGAACATCCTGTACCAGTTTCATTTCAAGCCCCTTTCTGTGGCTAAGAGACACTGCCACCTGTCCCAAATACTTGAGTTCATTCATGTTTTTCAGATCCATTCAAGTAATCTGTCAGCTGTTGTGAATGAATTTCCTTTGCACTAGTGAAATATCTACTGTGAATGAATTTTTATCTTTTATTACAGTTTGATACATCCAAATGACTTCTGCAACCTGTTAGAACACAAATGTTATCTTCTGGCTTAGCCTGTGAACACACTATGCTGCTGCCTTTAGCAAATATCCATGGATACCAAGAGCTTTCCCATTGCTGAATGATAAGGTCATTTAATTCTTTTTTCTGATGCATGGATTTCGAAACTGTCTTTGGATTTGATACCCAAAGTTTTAGTTTCAATTATCTGCCTTCCAGTTGTGCCAAAACAGATCCTAATGAGGACTTTTTTGTTGCATTTCATAGGAATATCATCTAGCTTTTGCGTCACATCCTGTATCGATATTGTTAGGCACTGAACTTGTTCAATGCAAGAATTGAGACCTTCAGACATCAGAGTTACTATTATTGAAAGGGGAACACCCTGCTCAAGGCACTCAAGTACCGCACTGCTCCATGCACTAACAAGAAACAACAGGGTGGTTGTTCCAGTTTTATACTCCTTGTTCTGTGCCTGAATGGTGTCATTAAGAAGTTGTCCCACTGTATTATTTGAATCTAAGCTTTCAAGAAGTCTCACTACAGAGCAAATCAACACACTGCCATAAGTTCTTTTATCAACAATAAATTTGGATGATTTAATTGGTCCTAAAAAGGTCTTTACAACAGATGCCAAAGAGGAAAGTTGCTGCAATCCCAAATGCCTTTTTCTGTTCATGTTTTCAAAAGCCATGATCCCAAAACATCTGCAAACAAAAACACAGACATTGTTTCTGCCTTTTATTGCCTTTTTCCTCTTACTTCATCCATTCTACACTGTTGAATTTTTTAATGTCTTCAATAGGGATACAACAACTGGAAGCAGATTAAATTCCACGTGCCTCACAAATAGTAGTTGCAGGGCACTTTTTGTAGAAAAAGCCCAGCAGGAACTCATTAGCATAATAGGCCACACCCAACAGCAGGAACTCATTAGCATATTAGGCCACACCCCTGACAGCACAGCTCATTAGCACATTAAGCCGCACCCCCATGTTACCAGAAGTGTGGTTATCCAGCCACGCCCACCTTTTGCTTCTTATTCTGTTTACCTTGTTTGTTGTCAAAACCCAGGACCTTTTTTGTAGCAGGAACTCCCTTGCATGTTAGGCCACACACCCCTAATGTAGCCAATCCTAATGAGTTTCTGCTGTTGGGTGTGGCCTATTATGCTAATGAGTTCCTGCTGGGTATGGCCAACTTGGGAGCCAGCCAGAACTCCATTCTGCCCCAAAATAGCCCTGTGAAGTTGTGTATGGAACACAGGTAAACTAAAGTCAGAATTAGTGCAACTTGGTACTGGGCAGTTAGAACTAGCCATATGTACTGGTTGAGGACTTTAGCAGGAAGAACTCCAGAGTTAGGAAAGAAGAAAGGCACTGATTGATATTCCATTCCCAGAGATCGGAACAGAAGCCCAACATCATCCAATAATGTTTATACAGCAAAGAGATTCATGAGACACATTCCTAGACTCCCTGATTCTTCTGCTGCCTGATGTTGGCTCTCAGATTTAGAAGTGATTAGGTCAGACCCCCCATGGGCAGAGTCCATGGAGAGATTTCCCTTCTAGTGGAATGTTTCCTTGAGTTTCCACTTTCTTCTCGGGCAGAGAAGAGTAAAAAAGCTCTGTAGTCATAACTGTACCATTAACCTAATTTCTGTAAAACAGCTTCATGTATTTGAAGCAAAATTCTCATTAAACAATGTTTTCATATATGAGAATATACAAATACATACAGAAATAAATACGAGAAGAAAAACGAGAAGTGTACAATGCCAAATGTTTTTGGCAACTTTTCTTGGCAGTCTCTTTTGATAATAACCTACTCTTACTCAACTGAGTATCAGTATTTTCCACAAACAACTGAATCATCAGCTTTAATTGCTAGTGGCACCACTCTGTCTTAACTTCATATTAAAATAATAGAATGTCACCATTTTAATATCAGTGAAACTCCTCACATATTTCATAGGAATAATATTTTCAGAAGCAAAGACTAAAGATGGTTGCAAGATGCAACATCTGGCCCAGATGATACTAGAACCAGTCCTCTCTGGGTGGGAAGTAGCTAGTAATTCAGAAGCCCTACACAGACAGAAATTTGGTTACAGCATCATCTCTTTAATAGAACAGTAAAACATCCTGAATTTCTAAAGTAGACGCTGTGACTCTTAGATAAGCATATGGAGCAGAGGTCCATCAGTGACTATTAGCCACAAGGTATAGATAGGGGCTCTGGGGCAAGTGAAGCTCTGTCTTCTTGGTGCTTGGGGGGGGGTCAACAGTGGGAGGGCTTCTAATGTCCTGGCCCCACTGGTGGACCTCCTGATGGCACCTGGTATTTTTGGCCACTGTGTGACACAGAGTGTTGGACAGGATGGGCCTTTGGCCTGATTCAACATTGGCTTCTCTTATGTTCTTATGACTCTTAAATGAGTCACTGCTATTCACCACTCAGTTTTCCTCAGTTACATATGTATGCATACCTACGTAAAAGCACACGGTGTACCCTTAAGAAAGGGTGCCAATGCACACCAAAACAGAGACCAACAGGATCAAACTCAACAGTTTTGGGCTGCCTTTCTCAGCAACCAATTTCAGACCGAGCCATTTTTATGGAGAAGATACATCTGATTCTGCCCGAGTTGTGAGTTGTCATACAGATACCTATGGTGGTAGTCCGAGTTACGGTTAAAACATTTAGATTTTACTCCAGCAGCTTTTACTCCTGTTAAAACATTGTGTATGGGATGAGGAGATAAATTTGCTATTATTCTTTAGCCAATAAACTAGCATTATGATGCCCAGATCAAATCGTTTTCATTTCTGAGTAGATCAATACCCTCAAATGGGATCTGACCTTACCAGAAGAGCATTGCATTCATTTTTGGGGATACTTCAAGCAATTTTTCTTGTACGTATTTGTAAAAAAGGGCCTGGTTCTCGTTGGGTGCATAAATATTCAGTAATAAAATTCTTTTTTTCCTGGGGCCAGAGGAGAGGGGGTTTGAGGGAGAGGCTGCTGGAGCCTCTCCCCAAGATACCCACCATGTTTCAGGAACATTGGACCAGGGGGTCCAATTGTATGGGCCCCCAAACAGGTTGCCCCCATCCTCTCCATTGTTCTCTATGGGGGGGGGAAGTTACTTTTTCCCACCATAGAGAACAATGGAGGGGATGGG